CCTCTCCCGTCGGTCCGTACACCGTACACCGTACACGGTACACCGGCTCATCGTTTGTACACGTGTGTCGTGTGTCGAGGTGTGTGCTGTGTCGCGTGACCTCGCTCGACTTCGAAAGTATATATACTTTTCGACTCGCTACTGCCTACTCGTCTAGAACCAAGAGTTGCTCGACGGTGCAGACTGCCAGATACAGCCGCAAGCCGAGACACCACACAGATCGCACACAATGAAAGGTCATTCATGGAAGGTGGGCCAATCAGAATCACAATTAAACACCCCTAGTCAGACTCTAGACTGCCCCCTCTCCCTGCTCCCTGCTCGCGCCAGAAAAAGCTCTCAGGAGGAGGTGGAGCAGGCGGCGGAGGGGGACGGCATCTCGAAGAGAAAACGGGGGGGCGCTCCTCCGGACAAAGCGCCCAGGCACGCCACCACCGCAACCGCTCGGGGAGAAGGGTGCGGAGGCACCGCGGGGCCGTCGCCGTCGCCGTCTTCACCGCCGGCAGCCAAAAGCAAGCCGAGCCCTGTACCACACCGGGCGGCGCGCACCGGCCGTTACGATCGAGGGGCAGTGTGTGGAGGCGGCGTGATAGGATAGGGAAGGGGAGTAAGCACCTGCCGACGGGCTCTCCGCGCCGGCCGGTGCCCCGCCGGTCGCCTCCTCCGCGGCGTCGGACGCGGCGGCCAAAGGCTCCAGAGGCTCGTGCGTCAGCGTCGCGTGCACAAGCAAAGCGGCGTCGGCCTGGCGCCGCTGGTCGGTTGCGTGGGCCGAGGCCGGATCTGGCTCCCGCCCCTCGAGCGTGCGCGCGAGCAGGCCGAGGTCGAGGCCTGAGGGGAGGGGACGCGTCCCGGACAGGTCACGACGCATCTCGTGCTGCCACCTCTGCCGAGACAGAGTAGCGAGGGGCCGGAGGCGAGCAGCTGGCGAGCGAGCTCGGCGGCTTGGTTCGGGCTCGCGAGCATCTGCTGCGCCGCCGGCGGCCCGCCCAGCTGCCCGCCCAGCTCCTGCTCGCCCGAGCGGCCCGTCGCCCTCTCCCGCTCACTCTCCCGCTGCGCCTCTCGCCGCCGCATCCGCTGCAGCTTGCGCGTGAGCGCGTTCCACCGGTTCTTGATCGCGTTGTCGCTTCTGCCGCGGGAGTGTGAGCGCCGCTCACCTCCCGCGAGATACCGCGAGATCGCCCGAGGTTGATCCAGATCGCCCGAGGTTTATCCGAGATCGCCCGAGGTGTGTCCGAGATCGCCCGAGGTGTGTCCGAGATTGCGCCCGAGAGAGTCTGCCGCTCCTGCCGGGGATCTCCTTGACAATCTGGCACCACCGCGTGCCGTGCCTAATTAATAGTTAATTAATAATCAGGCGATTGATTAATAATATTAATCTGGCACCACCGCGTGCCGTGCCGGGCGACCGCCGCGACGATTGCCTGTGAGTGGGGGAGGCAGACGTCCTCACGCACGCGCCAAGGGCCAGGCAATCCCCGCCGCATCTCCCAGCTCATTCGAATCCTTCCTCTCCCACGCGCACGCGAGCGTGTGCGTGCGAGCGTGTCCGCGTGCGTGCGTGTGCGTGCGCGCGCGTGCATGTGCGTGCATGTGCGTGCATGCGCGTGCGAGCGAGCGAGCGGCGGCAGGCCTTGTCCTCCTCCGCTGTGAACTTCTCCTTCTTCACATCGGGGGTGAGGTGGTTGTGCCAGCGCTCGCGGCACTGCTTGCCGATCCGCCCCGGCAGCGCCTCCGAGATGCGAGACCAGGAGCCCGGGCCGTGCTGTGTGACCTGCGCGCGGCACGGGCAAGGCTCGGCCAGGCAGGAGGTCGAGGCACGGGGCAAGCGAAGGGAGACGGATCGGCGTGTGGCAAGTATGTCGGGCTTGCTGACCGCGGGAGAGAGCGTGTGGGCACGGCACGGGAGAGAGCGCAGGCCAGGGGCGGCGGGGCGGCGCGTGCCAGCCTCAGAAGGAGGGCGTCCTCCTCCTTGCGCCAGGGCCGCTTGGGCGGGTGGTTGCCAACGAGGGGCGGGAGCGCCACAGTGGCACTCGGCAGGGGGGCCGCGGCTGCCCAGGTGGAACTTTGCGCGGCAGCCTCGATAATCGGGCCGGCGGCCCCGAGTGGCGTCGCCACCACGTGCGGCGTGGGCGGGTCGTGCGGGCTCCCGGCCGCGTGCGGAGCGGCGAGCACGGCCAGAGGCAGCTCGAGAGGCAGCTCCACCGCCGCCAAGAGCGGCGCCATCTTCGTGTGCGGCGGGGGGCTTGCTTCGCCTTGATGGCGCCGTCGAAAAGAATTTCAATTCCGAAACGATCTCTCTCGAGGTTCTCGACAAAATAGCGCCCGTGATTGCCTGCACGCTACCCGCACTCACGGACTCCATACCCGAAAGAAAGAGAAGGGAGCTCGCGGGAGAGGTGACGAGTGAACTACAGGTAGTGGGGAAGGCAGCCTCAATTGCCATACAGACATGGGTGCGAAACAACGACAAGACCAAGGCACGGGCAGAGGAACGAGAGAAGAATATAGGGTGGATAAAGCGCCTGTTCACGGCATGGAGGGTGAGCCACACCGAACGTACCGAGCGAAGAGCCGAACGGAAGGAGGACGGGGAAGATGACTCCGAGGAGGACGAACCAGTGGAAATCCAGTTGTCAGATGTCACGATGCATCCGAAGGGGACCCCAGCGCCGGCATCATCCGTAGAGGCACGAGTGTTCGAAGAGAGAGTGGACCTGAGCAACAACATGACCTGTAGGCAAATGATCGGAGTGGGAGTCAGAAATGTGGTCCTTGCGCGAGGGGAGCTCGATAGACTCGAGGGGCCAGGATACGCCGCGAGGAGGACGGAGTTGCGCCGAAAGGCGAAAGAAGCCGCGAGAACAAGGGACCGGCAGGCGGCGGCGTCGCAGGACGAGGCAGAAGAGAACGACGCGACAGAGGAGGAAGTGACAAGGGAGAGAACGACGAGGGTGGGACGACCGCGAGGTGGCATGAAGGTTGCAGCGAGAATCGGCGAGAGACTGCGAAGAGAGATAGGAAGAGGCAGACTCCCTAGGGTGGGCGACGGATAGCGCACCACACACCTCTCCTTAAAATCCCTGTGTGTGGTGGCGGCGTGCCGTCCTCCCATCCCTCCCTTGGGTTGTCTGTTTTCTTTCTTTCTTTCGAGGTTCTCGAGGTGGATATCCTTTCGCCGCGTTGGGTAGCGAGGATTGGTGTAACCCGAGCCACGGAGGCGTGTTTTCTGACGGCCGACCGTCAGTGCACGGAGTTGCCCCTTCTCCGACTGCCCCGGCTAGTTCCCGAGGTCGCGCGGGGCTGACCCCTGCGTCCCCCGGGACCTAGCGCGGGTGGGTTGGAGGGGGGCTCGCTGCAGGGAAGGGCTGTGTAAGAAGCCGATCCCCGTAGTCCGCCCCGTACTCCCCATCGGGCCGCGTGAGCGGCCTCGCCTCGCAGGTTCGTTTCTCGCGCCTGGGTAAGGCGCGCGGGGCATCCCCCGGGTCGCTCGACCAGCGATCCGAAGAGTGGCCGCTATGCGAAGGAAGTGCAGCGTGTGCCTGGCCGGTCGCGAGAGCAGAGCGGGCTGGGTGCCACGAGGAGGGTGCAGGCGACCG